AGGCAAGGACTTTCTGAACAGAACCCCAGATGCACAGAAGTAATTCTAAGAACCAACAAATGGGATCATATTAAAAAGCTTCTGCACAGCAGAAGAAATAACCAACGGAATGAAAAGACATCCTGCAGAGTAGGAAAAAATTTTTGCCAGTGATTCCTCAGAGGACTCAAATCTAGAATATAGAGAGAACTCAAAAAAAATTAGACCCTCCAAAATAAAAGATCCAGTCAAAAATGGTCAATGAAATGAATAGATCACAGAAGTGCTAGTAAATACATGAAGAAATACTCAAAATGACCAATGGTTAGAGAAATGCAAATTAAAACAACACCAAGATTCCATCTTATCCAAGAAAAAATGGCTATCATCAAGAAATCAAATAATAACAAAGGCTGAAAAACTGTGGGGAAAAAGGAACCCTTCTACATTGCCGTTGGGAATATAAACTAGTACAACCACTTTGAAAATCAGTATGAAGATTCCTCAAAAAACTAAAAGTAGAATGTGCATTTGACGTGTCTGTTCCCCTTCTAGGTATAATCCTGAAAGACAGTGTCTTAAAATAGATGTCCTTAAAGACATTGCAGTGATACATGTATACCCATGTTTACAGCAGCACAATTCATAATAGCTAAATCTTGGTAGAAGCCTATATTTCCATCAACAGATGAATGGATAAAGAAAATGTATTTACACACAAGGGAGTACTACTCTGCCATAAAGATAAATTTGATTCATTTGTAGGAAAATGGTTGTACCTCAAAACCATAATGTAAAATGAAATAAATCAGTCACACAAGCTTAAATATTACATGGTTTTCTTATATGAGAAACCCAGAGTAAAAATAAAAAGCAAAATAAAAGATAGGAAGTAGGGAAATAGTTCTCAAGGGAGGAGATCAAGAGATGGAGGGAAGGGCAGGGAGGGACAGGATAAGAGTTGAAAGAAAGGAATTGGGATGTGATATGTACATGTACCAACTCCACACAAGGATCATAAATATTTCGAATTGAAATTATGTACAAATGAAAGGAGATCAAGAGGTGGAGATGGGTGGAGGGGGGAAGGAGGAAGGGAAAGGGCATGAAAAAAGGAAATAAGATGTGTGTATACAATGTAAACGTTATGTATAACGTACTAGTAAAATAAATTGAAGACTTTGTAACTCATCAAAGCTACCATTTAAGCACTGATTATGTGTCAAGACTGTTTTAGGTATTTATATAAACTTATTTAATTCACAGAAGCTCTTCTAGCAGGTTCTTTCACTGTCTCCACTTTACAGAAGAGGAAACTGGCATAGAAAAGTTAAACGAGGGTGGGGGATGTAGCTCAGTGGTAGAGTACTTGCCTAGGATTTATGAGGTCCTGCTTTCAATTCCAAGCACCTCAAAAATGACATACAAAAAAGTTAAATGACATGCACAAAGGTAACAGATGTAAATGGCAGAACCTAGATTATAGACTCACTAAATTAGCTTTGGTCCTTACAGGTTTTCTAGATATAGCTCATCTTTCAGTAGCTGTGGTGATACGTGATGACGTCATGGTATCATTTGCCACCACCCCCAACAGCAGTTAGAAAGAAACATCAGTACCATAATTTCAGTAAAAGAATATTTTGACAGAAGAACAGTATTGAAGTAGAAGTTGAACAACACTATATAAACCAACATGGTGTAATGAAGATATGTAAAACATCCCACCCAACCACAGCACATTACACATGCTTAAATGCACATGCAACGTTCTTCAAGATAGACCTTATGTTAGGCCACAAAATAAGTCTTAACAAGTTTCAGACATTAAAAAAATCTAAAATCTCTTCTCTGACCACAATGGAATGAAGCTAGACAACAACAGAAGGCAAATAAAAAACCAAAAATTATATGTGGACTTGAAACGGTATACTCAGTCAATGGGTGAAAACAATAAAGGCTGTTAAAAATGTTGTGAGCTGAACGCAAATAAAAACACACACTAACACTGATGGAATTCTGTGAAAGCAGTACTTAGAAGGGAAACTTATAATTGTAAATACCTTCATTAAAACAGAAGGAAGAGGTCCGGGGATTTAGCTCAGTGGTTCTGCTGCCTGCCTCGCAAGCGCAAGGTCCCAAGTTCAATCCCCAGTACCAAAAAAAAAAAGGAAGATAATCAAATCAATAAACTTAGCACCTTATGATGTTTAAGAAAAAAATTGAGATTAATTCATCTAACTCACTGAGGCTGGGGATGTAGCTCAGTGCAAAGGCCCTGTGTTCAGTGCTCAGTACTAAAACAAAAAAATAGGGCTCCAATCCATTTTGAGTTTAAAAAAAATTTTTTTGAGGTAAGTATGCAGTTTAATTGTTTGCATGTGGATATCCAGTTGTTCTGACAGTTTCTTCTGCTTCCTCCTCATTTTCCTCTCCCTCCTTCTCTTTCTCTGTATGTGCACACGTGTGTGTGTGTGTGTGTGTGTGTGTGTGAGTGTGTGACTGGGGACTTGAACTCATGGAGTGCTGAGCTACATCTCCAGCCCTTTTTAATTTTTATTGTTTTGATACAGGGTCTTTTTTTTTTTTTGGTGCTGGGGATCAAATTAGGGACCTTGTGCTTCCAAGGCAGGTGCCGGAACCACTGAGCTAAATCTCCAGCCCTGATACAGGGTCTTGGTAAGTTGCCCAGGCTGGCCTTGAATTTGTGACTCTCCTTGCTTCAGTCTCCTGAATAGTTGGAATCACAAGTGTGCACTACTGTCCACCATCCTGGCACCATTTTTTGGGAAGCCAAACATTTATTGGTACATTTTAGATATACATAATGAAAATATTCATCATAGGGAATTTGTATAATATATCATGCTGCTTTTTTCCCATCTCCATCCCCTCCCTTTGACCCTTTTTTGCCTATTTACAAAAACTGTTTTCATCTTTTCCTTGCTTTTTCTTGTCCCTTCTTTCCTTTCCCCCTCCTCCCTCCCTTGTTCCCCTTCTCATTTGAATATTTTCTTCCCATCTCCCAATATCTAGTATACATTTTGGTCCTTATTTACACTTTTGGTTTTTCACACCAGAGAAACAACAAGGTATTTAAACATGTGTATCCAATTTATCTCACTGAAGAATATAGTCTCAAGGTGCATCCATTTAGCTAGAAATGTCTCAAGCTTATCCTTCATTATGGCAGAGTGGTACTCCATTGTATAAAAAACTACATCTTCATCCATTCGTTGGTTTATGGGCATTTGGGCTGTTTCCAAGATTTAGCTATTACAAATTGTGCTGCTGTCAACATGGGTGTACATATATTGGTGTGGTATGATGCTTTTAATTCTTTCAGGAAGATACCAAGAAGAGGAATAGCTGGGTCAAATGGAACCTCTGGTTTTAGTTTTTTGAGAAATTTCCACTGTGGTTGCATCAGTCTACACTCCCACCAACGGTGGAGAAGGGTTCCTTTTTCCTCACAGCCTCACTGGCATTTGTTACTGATTGATTTCTTTCTGGAGTGAGATGGAATCTCAGCATTGTTTGGATATCTCAAATGACCAGTGATGGTGAACATTTTTTCATATATTTATTTGGCATTTCTACTTCTTCACCTGAGAAGTGTCTGTTCATTTCAAGTGCTTGTTTTTGGATTGGGTCTTTAAACTTGGGGGGTGTCTGATTTTTTTGAGTTCTTTGTATATTCTAGATAATAGTCCTTTGAGGAACAACTGACAAAATGTTTCTCACCACTGTGGGTTGTCTCTTCACTCTGTTGGTGGTCTGGCACCATTTTTTGAAAAGACTGTTTTTTCACCATTTAAATCAGTTGCCCACAAATGTAAAAGTTTCTGTATTCTTGTTTCTATTCCTTTACCCTATTTATCCTTATGCCAGTTCCACAGTGTTTCATAGTTTTGTAGTAAAATTTTTGTTTTGTTTGAGATGAGGTCTTGCTATGTAACCCTGGTTGGTCTGGGACTCCTGGGCTCAAGCCGTCCCCGTGACTCAGCCACTCAGGTAGCTGAGACTATAGGCGCATGCCACAGGACCACACCTTACAATAAAATTTGAAGTTAGAAAGTTTGAGTCTTCCAACTTTTATTTTTCTTTTTCAGTGTTATTTTAGCTATTCTGGGTCCCTTGCATTTCAACATGAATTTTAGGATCAACTTGTGGGTTTGTGTAAGAATTAAGGCAGCTGGGATTTTTGATAGATTGCCTTAAATCTATAGATCAGTTTGGCAAAGTGTTGCTAACATAATACTGTCAAGTCTTCCAGTTCATGAATGTGGCTGTCTTTCAGTTTATTTGTTGTCTTTAATTTCTCTCAACAATTTTTGTATAACTTTCCAACATGGAAGTTTTGTACTTTTGTCAGATTTTTTCCTAAGTACATTATTCTTTTCAATGCTGTTACAAGTGGGATTGTTTTCTTAAATTCATTTTTAGAATATTCATTACTGTTGTATGGAAATATTTATTATATGAATATATTATGTATTTGTATATTCTGAAACCTTGCTGAACTTCTTGATTAGTTCTAATTGATTTCTTGTGGAGTTTTAGAATTGCCTATACTGTATACAGTAAATGATCGTGTCATCTGTGAATAGAGGTTGTTGTATTCCTTTCTAACCTGGATGCCTTTCATTTCTTTTTCTTGTCTAATTGCCTTGGCTAGAACCTCCAATGCAGAGTAGTACACAAAAGGCTGTGTGTTGCCTTTTTTATGCAAGGATGACATGGTATAAGATATTTTCTATCTCTCCAAATTAGAGTGTGCTAGCGTCATGAAATTAGTATCACATCTGTAGAACAGTGATTGAAGGTTCTATAATCTAGTATGAAAAACATGTAAATTTTTTTTTTTTTTTTTTTTTTTTGGTACCGGGGATTGAACTCGGGTCCTTGCACTTGCGCAGCAGGCGGCGAAACCACTGAGCTAAATCCCTGGCCCCAACATGTAGTATTTTTTGTATTGATTAAAGAACAGTTACAATATTTGTCTGTCTCTTTTCTTTCAGGTTTTCTCAAACAATGATGAAGGCCTAATTAACAAAAAGTTGCCCAAAGAACTTTTATTAAGGTAAGTGTAGATGAGTTTTAGAGAGTTCAGGTTTGATCAGTCATCAAATTCCAAGACTATCTTCTTTCTCACTGTGAGTCCACAGCATAGAAAAAGAGAGAATTAGCCTAACCGACTTTTTGTTTTTGTTTTATAGAATGCTGTTCAGCTTGTTGTTAAATTTTACTTGGTCTAATCCAGAATGTACTAAGTATGTACATAGCATTGGTCTGGATTCTTTTTGTAATGTGGTAAGTATTGTAATAATCTTCAGTAGGTGCCATTGTTTGAGTATGAGTAGATAATCAGACTAATATAAGGAAAGATTATCACTAAACTTACAAGCTTCTAAAGTCAGTTTTAGATGTTTTCTGATAAATGGGTTTAAAAATAAGTATGAAAAATACAGTTATATGATGTGTTCTTACCGAGCATTTAAAAATGCTTTTGGCCCCAAATATTGACGTTGGTATTTTTTATCCATTTTATTTTATTTGGATTTTTGAGCCAGAGTCTTGCTCTGTCAGGCTGGGCTTCAACTCACTGTGTAGTCCAGGCTGGCCTTAAAGTTGTGGCAATCCTCCTGCCTCTGCTTCCCAAGTGCTGGGATTACAGGCATATGCCATTACACCCAGCTTTTTATCCATTTTATAAGTATGTGCTAAATGACAGCAAGTGCTTTAAAATAGGCTTTTTGTCTTTTTTCCCCTTGATATTCCTATTGATATTATATATTACTAAATATATAGATTTTACCAAGTAAAGCTGTCAGCCAACATTTGTTGACCCTGAAGCACTGCAGCTTTCTTTGGTATTCTTCAGTGATCAAGATTTAGGTTTAGATGTTGTATTTTAATTCTTTACAAATAATTTAGGTATGCATGGTAATCTTTCAGTGGCATTTCTCAAACTGTTTTCCTATCATTAATATTCCACAAAAGCAGGTTCTGTGATCATATAAGTATAGGAAACTAATTTCAAAACTGCAAGACCACAAAACTAATTTCTTTACTACAGGACCACTTACAGCCTTAAATTAGCTAATGTGCATGGCAATGCTCCAGGTTGGGTAGTTGTAGCATTTCAAACCTCCTGACAATGGGACCCTTTCAGTATTTCATGGAAAAGTTTTAGGAAATACAATACTGAAATACAAAAAGAAATGGAACAGTTGACTCCACTCTCTGGCTGTACTAACTCTTTTGAACATGTTGGGAATGAGTATGAGTTTGGTTTAATAATTGAAAGTAATTTTTTAATCTCTTCCTGAGCTTACCACAGAATCACTCTGTAAGTGACAGATTACTCATCTTTGCTGTCATTGGTATGTTAGAGTTTTTGTTTTGTTTTGAGTCAGAGACAACATGAGGGATTTAGCTTTTCTGTGGTGGTGATCACATTTTAGTGGCTTCAGAGTGTGTTTCATTAATCATCAGATGTTTTTTGGAATTGTCAGGAATTTGTTCTACTCAGTTAATAAAAAAGAAAATTAACTGAGACAGGATTGTATGAAAAAAATCATATTTTCTAATAAAACAAATACTTGAATGAGAATATTCTTTAACCTTTTAGACTGTTATGAACTAAGAAAGCTGGGCATGGTGGCACATGCCTATAATTTCAGCACTTGGGAAGCTGAGGCAGGAGGATTGTGAGTTCAAGGCCAGCATGAGCTACATAATGAGTTAGAGATGAGAAGAGATGGTTGGTGTGCCAGTATCCTAATGAGTTTGAGGGGAGCCTAAACTACATAAAAGACTCTGTCAAGGCCAGGGATTTAGCTCAGTGGTTTCGCAAGCGCAAGGACCCGAGTTTGATTCCCTGGGACCAAAACCCCCCAAAAAAACCCGTCAAAAAAAAAAAGATGGGAGGGGAAGAGGTGACAAGGAATGTATGTTTCACATATCCCATGAGGACTTGCTGAAACATATAATGTTACGTTTGTTGGTGCCAATTTCGCTGAGTCTGGATCGGCAAATTGTCACTGTACAACTTCAGGGAATACTATCCGCACTGACTACTCTATGGATGGTGCCCCCTAAAATTATGCAGTGCTTCTAGCCTCAGTGTGAATGTTTCTCTAGCACCAGCATCATGATGCAGTATGTATAGGCATTCCTAATCCGGAGAATCATTACCACCTTCAGGCAGACAACATACTAACCATTCAACACTAGTTTATGATTGAGTTCCACCCTTCTCACCAATACTACTATTTGTGACTCAAGGATACTAAATATTTTTTCACTTCTGATAGGATTGGCTTTTATAACTTAGCCATAGAACAATTTCCATCTGTTGATACAAAAAGAATAAATATAAGGAATTATCACTTTTTATGGCATTGTGATTTCTGCTCGTCAGTTTTAGAAATTTCAGTTCCGGACCGGGGTTTTAGCTCAGTGGTTCCACCGCTTCCCTGCAAGTGCAAGGACCCGAGTTCAATCCCTAGAACAACAAAAAAAAAAGAAATTTCAGTTCCTTTAAAGATCCATGCTGGACACAGTTGTGAAGAATTCTGGAGGTTGTCATCACTAGTTACAGCTTTTGAATCATGCCACACAGCTCATGCATAGATTATTTTTCAGAGGAAATTGCTGTTTGAGAGCAACTGTTTTTTTCATCTATTTAATTTCCACTTTGGTTCTTATTTTGGAGTTTGTAAGGGCAATTTAAATTTTGAAGCACTGCCACTATAAGCCTTTTCTGACTCTTGAGTCTCAAGATTAATTCTAGCCAACCATGATATATTAAGTGTTAATTTTTTGCTGGCTCTAAAATAATTTCTGAAAAAAAAATCATTTCTATATTAAATCACAGACATTCTAGTCTCAGTAAGAGTAGCTCTCTCCTTTCCCTGCTGCTCAGCAAAACTTCAAAGAAAGGTTTGAACCCAGCTACCTAAGCAGCCATTTTCATCATAGGTTAATTCCACAAATGTGAGTTCAATCAAGTATCATCCATCTTGTGAACCTTAAGTCTTGATTTTTTTTTTTTGGTACTGGGGATCGAACTCGGGTCCTTGAGCTTTCGAGGCAGGCGGCGGAACCACTGAGCTAAATCCCCGGCCCAGTCTTGATTATTTTCTGTTCCGTTAAACAATGCCTTCATATTTTGCTCTGCCGTAGGCTTACTTTTTTTTTTTACTTCATAGTGTAGACTTCTTTGTGACAGTGAAGACTGTTGTCTCAAATCTTGTTGGATTCCTTCAGTCTTACTTCATCAATAGATATGCATCCTTTGACTTTATGACAGTCTTATTTGCTCACAGTTCAGGTAATTTTCTCTTCTGCCATTTTTTGCTGCATCTATTATACTCTTATGTTCTTAACTAGCTTCCCATATTAAGTGAAGCCTCAACTTCCCCTTTGGAACCATCAACAAACATAACCTGGATACTTTATTGCATTTCATCTTTTAGTATCACCTTGACTCTACTAGAAAAACTAGTATTTTTATCTTATCATTTTATTGCTGTTTTTAATACTTAGTATCATTAGTTCACATATTCTTTCTGCTACCCATTTTGAGTACATTACTGGAATAAGTTTTTACAATTTTGTTTTTTCTACCCAGCTTTCACTCATAAATTAAAGACACTCAAATTCTGTCTCCCCTTTATTCTCACACAGCTCAAACAGCTTATAATTTTGTTTTCCCTGGAGTGTCAGTGATACAATGCTTATATTTTTGGGAATGTTTGATTTTTTTGTTTGGTACCGGGGATCGAACTCGGGTCCTTATGCTTGCAAGGCAGGTGGCAGAACCACTGAGCTAAATCCCCAGCCCTAGGAATGTTTGATTTTTATAATCTATATCTCTTAGTGAGTTGGATTGTCCTTAAATATATTTGTCCACATCATTATTGTCTATGTATTATTTTTGGAGCCAGACTTTCTAGGTTAAAATTTCAACCTTTCTCATTTATTAATGTGTGGCCTTAATTAAGGTACTTAATTTTCTTGGCCTTAATTTTCTCATCTATAAAATTGGAGTAGTCATAGTTCTTATGGGATTGCCAGTTCTTAGAATAACTAATATTTAATAAATATATATTTGCTCATACTGTTATTAATATAACAGTTTAGAAATGAATACTTAATAAATACTACTTAGTGATGCCAGTCAGTTTTATTGCAAATAACTGACAAATCAAGCTGCCTCAATTGGATATTTGTATGCTGTTGCCAAAACCATTTCAGTAAAGCACCTGATTATTAAGTTTATGTGGCCCAAAGCGTCATCAACTGGACTAATTCAATCTCAATGGAAATTGCGTGCTACCATTTTAAACTAACAACTACTAGGCTTATGCAGATTGGTTGTGGTGTTGTAAGACTGATACAGTAATTATTTTATATTATAAAAAAGAATGTTGGAAAGAATCATTCTGCTTTTGAGGAAAGATGTTTTGCATGAGTTGAATATTGGCCTAAAACTCAGATTATAAATTTTAATTTCTCAGATACTGTACTAATGCTGACTGAGGTGAAAACATATAAGCTACCTCTTAGGACAGTGGTGGTGAACCTAGTGCACGTGTGACACAGTGAGCTGTTTGCTGTCTAAAAGTTTCGCCATTACTGTCTGAGGAGCCAGTGATTCCTGTGGTAGAGTTTAAAGCATCCTGAGAACACAAAGGTCTTGTTATTTGTAAGTAATAAAGAAACATTTTATTAGACACATTTTATAAAAATTCAGTCACCATCATTTATGTAATTTTCTTTCCTTTTAAACTTATGTAGATACATGACAAAATTAAGTACTCACAATGTTTATTGGATTGATGAAGGAAGATCTAATTGCCCAACCAAGAGAGCTGAGCCTAGTAATTCTGGCTGATGTATAATCAGCAACCATGCACAATTCCATCCAGTCTGACAGTTTTAACAGTTGACTGTGCTAGTGCCATTAAAAAATAAATAAGTAGTATATAAATTTCAAACTTTCCTTTTCTGCAATTTATAAGCCAAGCCCATGAGTGAAATAATTGTGGGTTTTGTGGGGTGACTGAGGTACAG